CGTTACTCCTTCCCTTCCGTACAACTTACTACACTACTTTACTTTAGTACAATAACTAAATTAAGTATACTTCTACTGTAACCACTATTACTCTTGTAATAGATAGAGAGAGAGAGAGAGAGAGAGAGAGGCATTGTACAAAAGGCCTGATACCCCAATGTCTCAATGATTGTTTACTTACAAATAGTTAGACACGTTGTGCAAGACCCTGCATTTGGCATTGAATGCGGATATATATGATTTCAGGTGAATGATGAGGTTTTATTGGAGCAACAAATAAATATAGCTTTCTAGCATTTGGGACTTCCGTTTCTTCATTTCTATCTTTCTCCACAGAATGCGCGTCTTGTCTGAATGTGGGCCTTCCTGTGTGTTATGTGAGAGAGAGAGAGAGAGAAGGAGAGTATTTCGAAAGAGAGAGAAAACATTCAAGAGAGAGAGAGTTAGAGAGAGATAGTTCTAAACATTCAAGAGAGCGAGAGAGGAGCCAGAGAAGGACTTGGCTTTAAGAGCCGTGACAATAAAAAAAAAATAGATGCAGATAAAAACTAAAGAAAGATCCTGAACCTTAGAAAGTAGACACCATGCCAATTCAATACAACTTTGAGCTTCAATATGTGACGCAGGCTATTGAGTTTTCTTTTGTGCTGACCTCTCTCTCTGAGTTTCTTTTGTAATGAAACTGGGCAGTCTCTCATTGACTACTTTCTTTTGCATTCTCTCTCTTCTCTTTCTTTCTCTCTCCACATTGTCAAAGAGTAGCTCAGTGCAATCTCTCTCCTCTTTTTCTCTCTTTCTCTCTCTCTCTCGTATTATTAGGTCATGAGAATATATATTATATCTGTAGTCTAAAATGTGAATGGTCAAGGAGTAGCGCTCTCTCTCTCTCTCTCTCAATAAGAGGAAATAGTCACAAAAAAGTTTCCTAGGTTCTTGCATGATTCTCAACTACTACCGCAAGACAAAAACCTACACGACAGTGTTGAATTGAGGACAGATGCATTTGATGTGTTTGGGATTAATGGTTAGACACATTTCTGGACAACTGTTTGGAAGTTATTACCGATTCCTTCCAATTTACTGAAACTTTCTTGAAAGACATTCAATAATGAGAAACAAATAAATTTGCTGAACTTCAGTCCTTGATAAATTAATAAATACATTGGAAATATAAAAAAAATGGAGGGATTCATTTTGCTCTCTCTCTCTCTCTCCTTGCACCAAAATGCAAGGTTGAAATTCATATATATATATATATATATATATATAGGTAATATTTAATTCATGCAAAGATGGGTGGGATTAATATAAGACGTCCATCATATACTTAGAAGTAAGGTGTGCCTCTAAATTTTACCTGTAATGATGACTTGAAATTTTATTTTCATCATTCGTTATGAAATTTAGCATTTTAAAAATGGTACAAGCAAATCTATAAACGCTCTGAAATCTCGAGACTATACAGTCATTACATGTTACATGATGCTTTTTTTTTTAGTATTCAAAATTCTTTTTCTCTTCGTATCTATAATCTCAATGTTGAGATAATCAATTGAAAGGTATTTATACATCAGAGGACTCTCTTTAAGAGGATTTTTGAGTTGCAGCTTATTTCAATAGCATAAAGTTAGATACCTCATGTAAACTTTTTCCTGCAAATGCAGATAGAAACCCTAGAAGTGAAAATCATTTATGATGAATTGGAAGAAAAAATATCTTAAACTTTCTGTGATGGTGTACTTACCTTCTAGGTTATAGTAAATTAGTAACTTGGCTATTGGGTGTTTGGGGAAATCTAGAGCGTGGATTGATTTGAGTAATAGAGATCTAATTGATTCGGTTAATCGCTTGATTCTTCTTTAGTCATTTCAAGTTTGGGCTCATTTTAGGGAGTTTAGTGCCCTTTTGATTTGCAGCCATAGGAATGTTTGTCCCCCTCCTTCCCCTTTTCAAAAATTCAAAGAAATCTCTTTAAATTTAAAATTAAAATTCGGAGGGATTTTAAAAGGATAGAACTCACCTTCCTAAAATACGTAAACTATCTACAGTCAAAATTTTATTTTTTAATAGGTATTTAATAGTCAAAAGTTCTGGTATAGTAAATGCTAAGTTCATCTTAGTGTGTATGTATGAATATATATAAATCACTTTTGGTGTAGTAAATTCTAAGCTCAGTGTGTATGTATGAATATATATAAATCACTCTGTCACTACCACCATAACACCAGTATCCCCTTGCTACCATTACCACCACCACCACTATCTTCGCCACCACCTATCCCCTTGTTACCATTACCACCACCACCACTATTTTCGCCAGCACCACTACTACATGCTCCACCACCATAAGCTCTATCATCAACACCACCACTGTAGCATTGCCGCCATCGCATGGTCACCACCATTATGGCACTCTATGACAAGAGATTGTATAAACACCCCTAGACAACAAACTGCAATATACCGAATTGCAATTTGGTTGACAACAGCTGGAAAATAAAGGTATTGATGAAATTTATCAATCAAACCTACCCTCAATTCAAGGATGCATGTTTCGTATTTTGGTAACCGCTTGTTACTGGTTTTCCTCTTCTTTGAAATCCTTTGCATTTATATTGAATATAGTTTTTTCACGGTCTTTTTTATTTTCCAACGAAATCCGTGGTCCTCCTCGCTCTCTAAATACTTATTTTCAATAATTTGACTAAAATCCTTTAAGATGAAGGATCATTGAAGGAAAAATTGGGCGGTCTAATCGGAAACCGCCAAGTTAGATCGGCACCGGCCAATGGCCGGTTCTGGTATCAGTCGGTTTTGGTCACCATCCGGGTATTTTTAAAAAAATTACATAAAATAGAAAATACAAGGGATTTTGTTTGTAATGTATTTTTTTAATGTTTTTCATCATTATGGTACTGATTGGAATTCTTTTGGCCATTAACACTTATTTTTAAATTTTTTTGTTCTTTTAAAAATTTCAAAAAACACGCCTAAACACAATTCGATTATTTAAAATTCATTTTTTTTATCGATTTTCAACATTTAAATGTGCTTTGTTTAATCATTCTCCAAATATAGTTTTATATCTTATTAGATTTTTTGGTATTATTTGTATTTTTAATATTATTTTTTTCTACCGAGAACTTGTCCAGTTAGAACGGTTGAACCGGTACATGTACCGATTAGAACGGTTGAACCGGTACATTTACCGATTAGACAGGTTGAACTGCTTCCCAGCCCAAATCCGGCTAGCCATTACGGTTTAATTTTTCCTACACTAATTCCCACCGTGCTTTAAAACGTGAAATGGTGGAGCACTTCTTTGCAAGCATTAGATAATGTTATTTTACAAAGGTGAGAGAGAAGCCATTTGATAGATTGAAACACCATAAACACTTCACCTTTAACCAACGGTATCTTTGGCATTTCATACTCTGTGACTGAAAACACTCACGCTTGTGTCCTTCCAAAGAGCTTTACAAACTCGGCTCTCTCCATGCATAAATATTGAGGACCCAAAATTTACTACTTTGCTCATAAGTTTTTTTATTCTTGCTGATATTTGAATTCAATTGAAGCATTGCCTTATTATGACATAGACTCCGACTTGTCTTCTATGAGATACACATGTTTATATGTCGTATATTGATTCTATGAGCATAGGACTCTAATCATGGACTCCGAAATTTTATATTCTTTGTACAAGAACATTTGCTTATAAAAGTAATTAATTATATGTTTCCCAACCAA